AAAGTTTCAATTACACAGAGGCTTGTGCTTTTCTCCAGACCTGTCTGTCAAAGTGATCTTCAGCCATTAACTTCAGCACAAGCTAAGCAAAGCTGACTGGCTAGTATATTACTTGAGAGCTTTGGGGCCATATTCTGTCATGCAAATTATTACGAAAGCCTCATGGGTAGCATTGATCAAACTCCTTGCCAGGATAAAGAAACAGTAAGTCGTTCAGTTCAAAAATCAAAGTGTCATCTATTCTGAAGCACGGCACACAAGCTGAAGCAGCTTTTAGGAGTGGCCTCATGTTGACTCCTGACCCTCTGCCAGAGGATGTTCCTAACTCTTGTCTGTAATGTAACTGAACTTGCCCTTTTATCTGTTGCAGTAAAGCTTCAGCTTTGACTAGTGAGAAGGGAATTGGGGAGTGTGAAATGACAGCTTCTATAGTCCTTTTCACAGCCTCAACACTATACTCAAAGACATCCCTACTACTTATTTATAGCCACCTGTCTTTGCCTTTAGACCTGCAATCCAGGCAATGCAAGCCTCATGTGAAAAGATGCTGTTCAGTATAAATTACTGGGACCAGAAGCATTCACACTGTGTTTGGTGGAACTCTACAGTTCATGGGGCGCCATCAGGCTGTTCTCAGTATAAAGACCAGATACTTGAATGACTGCTAGCACAACACTACAGAGATCTTCTGAAAAATGTAATCGTCATTAAAATGGGCACACATGGGGCCTGAAAAGTCAAGGCAGTGTTTTGTAGGAACCAACAGTGCAACCTATGACAGGTCCTAGAATCTTCTGGAATACCCAAGAGTTTCTCATTAGACAAGCTGATGTGGATAGATTTCCCTAAAGGTAGAATGATCAAAACTGTGGATATATACTCTTTACACAAAACCCCATGCAAATGTAATACCCAGAAATCCTGGCACTGCCAGCATAAGTCCATGCCCAAAGGAGTGCATGGCTTCCTAGGAAATAGTACACACCATAACCTTCTATTTGTCTTCCTGTCTAGTGAAACCCACTGCACTGTGAAGACGTGTGTTCAAGTCCATGGAAGTGTTTAATAGCTTAAAACTATTTTAATCTTTGAGATGCCACAAGACTTCTTTGTTATTATAGAATTGGTTCACATGTAATGACAAACCGTGACTCAGCCTTCTGTTCCTCTCTCCCACTCCCTTTTCCCATTTTGTTGTCTAGTTCATCGGGTTACTTCCTGTTCATCACAAACCAGCATTTGTCATTACACCCAAACCCACAAACAATGGTTTATACTTGCCCTCCAAACCAGGATTGGAAACCAGCTTTCAACCATGATTTGATAGCCTGGTTTGAAAGGCAATCTCAAAGCAGAGTTTGCCAGTTTGGATGTAATGGCAACTTAAGTTTTGCTGTAAGGAACTACTGAAACTGGAGTGTGCAAGGGAAAGACAGAGGGGATGTTGAGCACAGGAACACAAGACGTGGAGAAAATGTTAGGTAAGAATATTTTGTGAGGGAAGACCCTAAAGGTCCCATTTCAAACATCAGTTACGATCACAAACAGGTATATTGGCAAAGTTAAATACTGGCCCCGGTCACATGGCAAAGTTGCCGCGGGAGAGGCACGGGAGTCCTGTGGATTTTCCGGGCATGATCACATCCCAACATCTGGGAAGCGCAGTGCTCCCGTGGTGAACCCGTGGCTTCCCGCCGAAGGTGCGGATTAAAAAACTAGTACTTACGAGGTACTAGTTTCCGAAAACCATGGGCCAAGGGCGGGCATCTGATCGTGTTTCTGGTGGACTTACGTGGCATCCGGCGCCCGTCTCTGCAGGTTGCGCAACAGCGCCCAACAGCGCATGCGCACAAAGAGCGATTGCTAGTGCGACTGCGCAGTGCGGCTTCTGTGCCGCGCTGCAGGATACCCATCTGGTCAGCATCTCCCCCCTAACCACGGGACCTCGACCAGGATGTGTGCTCGGGCGGCCGCGCATTAGTTTCCTCCGGGGCAATTAGCCACGCCTTCCCCCCACGATATCCAGTCCGTGTGACCGGGGCCACTATATAGTTATATTATTTAAGTAAATGTTTAGCCTTAAGAGATCAACAGTTTTCCTGAGGAGTGTGTGTGGGGTAGGGATAGGAACTGGGACCTACTTAAAACATGAGCTATGCCAGAAGTGAAATGTCTTGTGTAGAGGGATACCTGCAGCCAGGGCTATTTTTTGGCAGGCATGCACCGGAACGGAGTTCCGGCTGGCTCCCGAGTTGGCCACGCCCAGCAGGAACTCATTAGCATAATAAGCCACACCCAACAGCAGGAACTCATTAGGATTGGCTACATTAGGGGGGTGTGGCCTAACATGCAAAGGAGTTCCTGCTACAAAAAAAGCCCTGGGTTTTGACAACAACAAACAAGGTAAACAGAATAAGAAGCAAAAGGTGGGTGTGGCTGGATGACCACACTTCTGGCAACATGGGGCTGCGGCCTAATATGCTAATGAGCTGTGGTGCCAGGGTGTGGCCTGATATGCTAATGAGTTTCAGCTGTTGGGTTTGGCATATTATGCTAATTAGTTCTTGCTGGGCTTTTTCTACAAAAAAAAGAGCCCTGCCTGCAGCCCTCTTGGTCCACTTCACTGGCTCCGATGTACAGTTCCTAGAATCTCCAGGTAAAGGATCTCGGGCAGCAAGCTTTGGGGAAAACCCTTGCTTGAAACCAAGACAGAGCAAGCAATTCTGAGTTAGGTCTAACCCAGTGTAAGGCAGTTTCTATGTTCATTCAAAGGTAGAGAGGATCATATGTCTGGCCACGGGACTCATTCCCAGCAGGATTCTCAGTCAAGGATTCATTCTGGAAAGGAAGGAGTACTATCTAGGTGCCTGGGAAGAAGAGGGCCATTCCTGTCAACACTGATGAGATGTCACTGTTTCTGAAATTGTCTGGGTTATGGTTTGATGCTGGCTCTTCTTTAAGGCTGCACAATCACTTCTATTTTCCCCATGGTGCTTTCCACGCACTTTTACACAGCTGGGCTGCTTCTCCCCTGGAATCAGCAATCTAGTAGATGTGGTGGGACGGAGGTGTTCCCCAACATAGCCCTTGCAATAGGCAGGCACGGACAGAAGCTATTAAGCTGCCTGCATGCCCTGCAGGAATACTTCACTTTTATGAGCAAGCAGGCAGGCAGGTAGAGAGGCAGATACCCAAGCTTTCTGGAAGACTTTATAGATTTTATTTTTATACACCCCATTGATGGAAGCTTTATACCCTTCCACTGTTAAACAAACAAACATTCTCCTAAGATCTATGTGGAAGGCTATGCAAGAGAGAGCTGCTGATTCAGGATCTGAAATTTCTCAATGTCCAGGGGTCATTTCGTAGAAAAAGAGCTAGGGGGACTCATTAGCATAACTCATTAGCATATGCCACACCCGCTGACATCACTGGAAGTGTGTCCTCCCCACAGCCGGCGGCGACCTCCAGCGGGCACCAGCAGGGAGCTCCAGGCCCCGCCCTCCCGCACCTCACCCGGGGGGATGGCGTCCCCCCGCGTCCCCCCCCAAATGACCCCTGTCAATGTCTATTATTTCCTATAAAAGCTCTAACAAGCCCTGGATCAGGCCGTGGCTCACGAAGGCCCTATTCGCAATTACCATCAAGCAAAAAGAGCTGTGTTTATTTCCACCCCTTGTATGCTACTTCCACCTCAGGAGGTTTACAGGGGGCAGCAGCTATTTTATGGTGGGAACTAACTGCTAACCATAACCTTGCTCTCTTTCCTGAAACATGGAGATGGTGCCATATTGGGAAATGGTGGTAAAAGCCACAGGTGGCATGTCAAAAACCCACGTGTGGCTTAAAGACACTGCTCCACATAATAGAATAGTTCAGAGACCCCTCGCCTCCCATGAAACCAGTGAAATACTGACGTAATTGACAGAAGCTGGAAGTACTTAGTACAAAAATGCCAAATGGGACAATCCCAATTGGTTGGATACCTTCTGGTTGAATGACAGGCCTGTCATGCACATAATTGCTCATGCTAAGGCACTTTCTCCCCTTGCTGCTCCATCCCCACCCACCTCCCATTGCCTGAGAAAATGAAACCAAACAACGAGGAGTGAGAATTGTCAGACTGAAATGTTTTCACCTTCATCTAAATGTCAGGAATAATTTAGGTCCAATCAGAAACCTTTCTAATATTTTCAAAAGGAGCATAAGTCAGGCTAGAACTTCTGTGTGACTGCATATACCCAGAGGTCATTTCGGGGGGGAACGCAGTTCCCTGGGTGAGGTGCAGGGGGGCGGGGCACATGACGAACCCCCGCCCCCTGCTTCCAGCCGCCCCGCTTCCAGCCCTCATTCAGCCAGAAGGAAGCGGGAGAAGAGGGAGGGTAAGTTGCTTCCTCCCCTCCTCTCCCGCCCCCTGCCTGCCTGGGGCCAGGGAGGGCCTTGGCGGGGCTTCCTCGTACTACCGCCGGCCTTGCAGGTCCACCGCCGGGCCCCTGATGTCAGGGGGTGTGGCATATGCTAATGAGTTATGCTAATAAGTTCCCCTAGCTCTTTTTCTATAAAATGACCCCCGCATATACCTATCAAGGTTTCAAAAACTTATGGGAAACAGGGCAGACATCTTAATTCAATTAAAGAATGGGAGGAGAAATCTAATTCAGGGGAGGGTGGGGTTGGTTCGTTTTTGTTTTTGCACAGGTCCCAAAAGAAAGATTAATTGGTTTCTCCTGCAACATGATGAGAAAGTGTAAAAGATCTCAGGTTTTTATTCCTCTATAGAAATTCAAAATGCTTAAGGAATCAGCTCAGCAATAAATCATTTCTACCTTCTGCATCTTTCCACTTTATCAATAGTCTAATTGCCTAGATGAAAATAGTCAATGGTTAACAAAGGCTTATCTGGCTGTTGCAAAATGTGACATATCGTACCTTTTTGGTTCTTCGATCCTGACCTCATTTGAGCCATCTAAACAACCAACTTATTCCTGACAGTTTCTTACCCTGATCCCAAGCTCCACATTTTCACCTCCATACACCTCCATGCCTTCATCGAGTAGACCAATTTCTTGGAAATACTCGCGGTCTACTATGAAGCATCCAATCAGTGCAGGGCTCCTACATGAAAATAACCAAACAACAGCAAACATTAACACATATGAATTTAGCCAGTGGAGTTAATGTTAACTGTGCTGATCTCACTTGAGGTGCTCTAACAGCACTGCAAACAAGTTTGATGATCAAATGTCTTATTTGCAAAACTGAATTATCCCAGTCACGTCTATTTATGTCTTTCCTTCATTCTGATGTTTGATTTCTTAAAAATATGTTATCTACTAGTGAGAAAATCCATATGTCAGTGTAGCAGAATGGTTAGAGTATTGGGCTATGAGCTGGTAGATGCAGGTTCCAATCCCCCACTCTGCCATGGGTCCCCTTGGTCTAGTCACATACTCCTAACCTACCTCACAGGGCTGTTGTGAGGATACAATGGAGGAGAGATGTAAGGCACTTTGGTTCCCCACTGGGGAGGAAGATGAGGTATAAAATGAAATAAAGATACAAATCAATATGCTGACACTAAAACTAGATTCTGCTATCTATCTGGATATTCGTTTATGTTCTACTTAATAACCGAGTGCTGTCAAGTCACAGCGATTTATGATGCTTCTGAGCACTGACAAGCTTGGGCTAGTCAGCACTATTCAGTCTGCTGTGTCCTATTCATTGCACTGTTATTCTGTTACGCCTCCAAAATGGCTTTGCACGAGACTCCTAGGCAGCATATCATCCAAGTACCGACCTAAGTGAGACCTCCATCGTTTCAGCAATTAGCAACATCATTTGCGATCAGTCCAGGATTATAGCTTCAGGTGTTTTTGAGATAACTGCGATATGAGACGTGAAACTCGGATGCCCCAAAGGCTTCACTGTGTGATTCAGATGATACCACAGTCTCATAAAGCAAGATTCTAGCAGGTTTCATTCCTTATTGGACTTAATATCTCAGTTCCATGTCATTATGTTACAGGCCTGTAGCCAGGATTTTTTTTTTAAGTCAGGGGGCATTTAAATTCTTTAGGGGGCACTGGCTAATCAAATTAATCCAGGGGAGAAGGCCGTGATGCCCTGGGCTGGATGGGAAGTCAGGGGGCCGTGCCAGCAAGTCAGGGGGCCTAGCCCCGACATGCCCCACTGTAGCTACAGGCTTGTTATGTTACCATGTAATAGGGAAAAATGCAAAGGACCCGTTTTTACAGTCATTACGTCTTCTGGCATCTTGCCAATTGTGTGTGTGAGGAAGAGGAGGAAGAATTGGTTTTTATACACCACCTTTCTCTACCCTAGGTAAAGGTAAAGGTTCCCTTGCTCGAAAGCCAGTCGAGTCCGACTCTAGGGTTGCGGTGCTCATCTCCGTTTCAAAGCCGAAGAGCCAGCGCTGCCCGAAGACGCTTCCGTGGTCATGTGGCCAGCATGACTAAACGCCAAGGCGCACGGAACGCTGTTACCTTCCCACTGAAGTGGTACCTATTTATCTACTTGCAATTTCTTGCTTTCAAACTGCTAGGTTGGCAGGAGCTGGAACTAGAGACGGGAGCTCACTCCATCATGTGGCACCCGGGTCTTGAACTGCTGAACTACTGAACTACCGACCTTCCACAGCCTGCAGTTCAGCGTCTTAACCACTTGAGCCACTGCAGCTCCCATTCTCTACCCTAAGGAGCCTCAAAGTGGCTTATAATTGCCTTCCCTTCCTCTCCCCACCACAGTCACCTTGTGAGTTAGGTGGGGCTGAGAGAGTTCTCAGACAACTGTGATTGGCCCAAGGTCACCAGAAGTCTTCCGGAGGAGGAATGGAGAATCAAACCTGGTTCTCCAGATTAGAGTCTGCTGCTGTTACCCATTACACCACATTGGCTGTCAACTCACAGCCAACTTAAGGTGACCCCAGCAAGGGGCTTTCAAAGCAAGTGAGAAGCAGAGGTGGTTGGCCATTGTCTTCCTCTGCAGAGTCTTCCCTCATGGTGTCCCTTTCAAGTGCAGACCCTGCTTAGCTTCTGAGATCTGACGAGTTAGGCTATTGCATGCTGCCTTCCCTCCCATCTTGCCTATTAATGAATGGTATTGAAAAGGAGCCATACAATATATATGAGCACATTTACAAGGCAGTGGAGAACAGAATAATTAATCTGTCTATTACCCTAATTCATATTTTGTCGTGCAAACTGGCAAACAGGAAAATGTCAGTTTTGTCATTGCATGAGCATGGAAGAAGTGCGCTGAGGACACCAGAATACTAATGAAAGGAGATTGGGGGGGGGGGGGCTATTAACAGCACAAGATAATCCATTCTGCATTCATCAGGATGATGGTGATCAAGCTGTGATAAACTGTGGCATCTGTTTGGATGTCATCATAAGACTGCAAAAATTATATACCCTCACATTTCCCCCTCCCTCCTTGGGTAGATCAGTATCTCTATGATGGTAACAAAATGTCAGTTCAAAACTACAGGAAGCTATTTTGGGGGACCTCGTGATGTAGAAAATGTCAGTCATTCTTTATGTCCCTTGGAACATTGTGTTTCAAAAACATTAATGCTCTGCATAGGAAAAAAAAAACCCACACTCTTCACTGTCTACCACAGCATACCAAAATTCTTGAGAGTATTCTGAAGAGAAAAATGTTTGCTTTTCCTGAAGTTTTGTATATTTCCAGTATGTTTTACTACCAAGAGTGCTACCATTATAGGCTGCTGGCTGCTATAAAAAACAGTCAAAGCAGTGACATACACTATAGCTCTGTTTCTGTATTGATTACATCAATGTCCTCTTCAGCTTAAGTGGGCAAAGGAGATGAGGTGTACAACATCCACATACTCTGCTTGGAACTTCTGAGGATTGTGGATCCAGTGTTAATGGCTAGATGTGCAGACGTCAGAAATTTGAAGCAGAGACAATGTGCTGGTTTCCAAATGGGGACATGCTTGTTGTTTCTCCTATTGCTGTTGTGGCTGCAATACATTGCAGGAGCATCAGGTTTCCCCACATGTTCCTTGCCCCAGTCCTCCATGGGTGACCATTTGCCCTTTTTGCATGTTAGAGTCCCCCCCCTCCCCAGTTTTTGAAATTGGCAACTGAATATCATTATAGTGTTATAACAATGTTTTTTACAGGTTCTTTACATTCTCAGCTTTTAAATAAAAGAACATTTCTAGCCCTTTCATTGCGGACATAAAAAGGGGAAAGGGGTATCTCTGGAAGGAAAGTGGCTGGAGATGAACTTTTAAAAATATGAATAACGGAATTCAGAAAATGAGACAAGACATACTGTTATTATAATGTTAAAACAATATAACAATATTCAATTGCCAAATTAAAAACAAAACCCAGTCTTCCAATGAAGAGGAGGAAATGGCTGCCACAGAAGTCAGGAAAAATGGTGCCAAAGTGGGTAGCATCAGGAATATATGGAATTTCCTTTCTATATGAGCATCAGCCTAGCTTTGCTTTAGTTCAAAACATCACAGCAAAACAAGTTTGGGAAAGATCACATTAAAGATGGGGGGTACTTGGAGGATGCATGAAGCGCCACAATGCTTTGGAGAAGAAGAAACACCCCCCCCCCATAGCATCCAAGATGGGTATTTGATATATGCCTTTAGCATATATGTACTGATGGGGGTGGAGCTCTTTTTAGCTCATCTTGTAAAACCCAGGGTGTTGGTTTTTTTGAGATCTCTTGGGGAAAAAATGTGCAAGGGCCCAGGGGTCATTTTGTAGAAAAAGAGGTGCAGGAGCTCATTAGCATAACTCATTAGCATAACTTATTTGCATATGCCACACCCCCGGCATCACCGGAAGTGTGTCAGATGGCAACACCCACCGCTCAGCCTCCACTGGACTGTTTTGGATTGCCAGCTATTGGGGGGGAGGGATGTGCAGATCTGTCCTCGCAGAGGAGGGAAAGCTTGTACCTGAATAAAACTTGGTCTTAAAGGTGCCACTGGACTGTTTTGGACTGGGGGGTGGGGGGGCTCTGCAATGTACCTGGCTGCTTCTTGCTCTGACTGAGGGCTGCTGGGAGCAGGGGGTGGGGCTTGTTGCCTGTGCCCACCCCCTGGGGTCTTTACTGCCGGAGCTCCACTCCTGTGCGCTCCTGCAGGAAATGACCCCTGCAAGGGCCTAACTTGGTGCACAGACTGCTGGAGAGTCCTCCCTATTTTACCCTTGAAAAATGGAAGAACTGGTGGCAGAGGAACCTAACTGGTGACATCATATTACAGCTTCATAGATGTGAGATGTGACAATGTGATATATATTTTAGTATCACATTTGGTAGTTGAATAATTTAGACTCTCTAATGTGATGGTAACATATATCACATTAAAGAATTTTCAATCCATGTTTGAAATTTAGTAAATCTTTGGACATTTTTTTCAGAGATGAATGAACCATGGAAAAGCATACGCAGGAGGGCTCAAAATATCCCTGATGTACATGCTTGGTGGCCAGTGAAGAGCTTTCTAAATGCCGTGGGGAGGCATTGGTCTTTTCCCACAATATGTAAATTATGGAAGGGCACCATAGCACTTAACTTTTTTTTCTGACTTCTACAGTTACCACAAACACTAGGTAAAGTGTACAAACTCCACTCTAACTTCTCACTGAAATTCCCAAAGACCCAGATTCTTCTAGCATGGGTGTACAAAAATGTATGTGTGCAAGTAAGACTCCACGGTAAAACCAACTTAACATACTTTTACTTGCAATATCAAAATCGCTTGCATATTTATACATGAGTAACTTAGGCGGAAAACTATGAAAATGGAAGCTGAAACAAATGGTGCACACTCTAATTCATCTTAGAGATTCTCCTAATTAAACTTGACTTCAGGAAGAATGGAACAAAGCGCAGAGCCAAGTAATAGCACAACAAACAGCTCAACGGAGGGAGGCCTCTCACTGCTAATAAAGATCAAATAAAACCATCAATTTATAAGCTTGCACCAACAGTGGAAACCCTTCTTGGCTGGCAGTCTAATGAATGTTGATTATGGGAAAATAGCTACGGTTCGAAATACATTCATTTTCAATTGTAGAGTCATAATCTGAGGGCAAAGGAAATTAATTTATAACAAAGGAAGTATTATGAATAGAAGAAATTCATATTATGAGACTATTATTGTTGAATTTGTTGTTATCACTGCTGATTACAGACAATCCAAATAAGGCCTCCCCCGTCAAACACTGTTTGTGGGCTGCATCGATTTCCCCCCTTCTAAAAGCTACCTCCAAGGCTCTTTTTCAAGTGTTCCCTCTAGGACTGAAGCTTACTGATTAAAACATGGGTACTTCATTGTGCCAGTATTGTTGCCTAAATTGGGGGTCTCTAAATTCGATTGGGGAAGATTAGTGTAATTGGAGACAGAGCTTGTGAGAGGGGGTAAGTGGTGAGATCTCCACCAACGCTTACAGGGATTTTTCCCTTGAGAACTCTCAAAATAAACCAAATGAAACAGAAAGGATTTTATTTAAAATTATTTTTTTTAAAAAAATACACAACATTGAGCAGGGGAATACACACACAAGGCTAATAAGAATAAAAGAGAGAAGCAGGGATAAAGATTGGGGAGTGGGTGATATTTATCTATCTAGATAAATGAAGTCCGGAGAAGAGCACAGACAAAACAACCAGCGTCTCAGGTTGGATCCAGGAGGACACACACACAACTGAGGGCTGAAGAGCCCAGTTATAGGGGAAATTCTCCCTGGAGCAGGATGATGTGGGTGCCCCCCAAACAATACCATAATTGGACCCTTTAGGGGTAAAATAATGTGCTGAATGGACTCACACAGTTCGCATGAGAATTGCTAATGGCGTTTGATGAGTTTGTCTAAGGGAAACTGAAAGTGCTAATGTCTTCCGGATGAGATTGCTATGTGTAAACTAAAGGTCTAAGTGTTTCTCTGCTGACCCCTGAATACAGGATGGGAGAGGTTATCGAGTCAGATGAACGGCCTATTAATTAGGGTAAGTAGGCAGGGGAAGCGAGACCAGGTGCAATGAGGTCATGCTAGGGTATTGTATAGGGTGGGGTCTGTATTAGCAAGTTCATGATCCAGAGTCACCTTCCCAAGATAGTTTTCCCAGGCTAGTTTCTGGCCGACGTCCATTTTGTTTGCGCCAGGTCCATCTTGATCCCATTTCTGGCCAAGCTGTGTGGTACACACATATGATTTTGGGGGACATCCTCTACAAACTGCCCTTCTGCAGTATATCATTCTAGGCAAATGACTGGGTAGTATATGTGACATCACTGAATGGTAAACCACAATTCAAGAAGATCACAAACTCCATGTTAGCCCTACAACCCTAATAGCATAAACTTGTGCCAAACTATGGGTGCAAGACTAAAGAGGACTACTCGGAAGTTAGTCCACTGCTATTCAGTAGGAGTTACTTCTAGGAACATGTCCTCAGAACTGCAGCCTATGAATAGAGCATGGGTACCACCTAGTATGTAAAGCAATCCAGGGTACCCTATAGTGTCTATTTCTGGACAGATTACCACCTCTGTTATTCCGTTGTGAACTATACCTTATAGGAGCTGTAGTGTTTTCCAGCTTCCACCATGACTTTGGGGGGTTTAAGTATCGACACCATAACTCCCAGTCAAACCCCTGTGCTGACAGAGGGTACTCTTCTATTTCAAAATTGTCATATTTGATGTTATCAAACGATGGTGATATTACTCTTTTTCTGTTTTCCTTGATCCTGGTGAGAACTGGCTCAGCCCTAAATAAAGAGAAGACAAAGAGACTGTTACATATCAGCTTCTCTCCCAGTTTGGTGTAGTGGTTAAGTGTGCGGACTCTAATCTGGGAGAACCGGGTTTGATTCCCCACTCCTCCACTTGCACCTGCTGATGTGACCTTGGGTCAGTCACAAGCTCTGGCACAGCTGTCCTTGAAAAAGAGCAGTTTGTGTCAGAGTTCTCTCAGCCCCACCCACCTCACAGGGTGTCTGTTGTGGGGAGGGGAAGGGAAAGGAGTTTGTAAGCCGCTCTGAGACTCCAAGTGAAGGGCGGGGTATAAATCCAATCTCTTCATCTCTTCTCTTCTTCTTCTTCTTTCTGGGTGTCAATCAGAACACCCAAGGATCTTAATAAAAGTTTAACTTCATAAACTTTTTAACAGGTCCTAAGCAGCGCAATTTTAAATCCTTCATGGTTTGTTGCCACTTCTTGCCTTGTAGTCAGAAGAAATAAGGATTTTTCTTATCAGTGATGATTAACACTCCTTAACCAAGTAGTTATCAAGTTATCAACATATTAGATATAATAATAAAAATGGCCTAAGGAGAAAGGCTTCATCCCTGTTTAAAACACAAACTTCTATCAAAATAGGCATCAGAAAACAAAGTAAAAATTTAATGCGGGATGTCTGAATGGCTGGCCGGGTGAGATGGCCAAATAAATTGGAAGAAGATGGCAGATATTAACATAATCTACTAAATTCTTGCCATATTAGCAATTTAGAGCTTGTATTAACAATGGATTAATTAAAACCTGTGGCAAAGCTCCAGCAGCAAAAGCATAATAGTTACTGTCTTACAAATTCCTCCTCTGGCATTCATTTTTATGCCATGTACAGTATAATTGAAATTATTTAATGAGAGAGGGTAGAGAACAATGGAAGATTTTGGCATGTATAGTGCTTGATCTGTAAAGAAAGATATGGGTTCAAGCCTTTCCAGAAGTTATGCTCCCTAGACCTACTGTCCTATTCCTTCACCCTCTGACATGGGGCCCAAATGTAACAATCTTGCTCAGTGCCCACTTACGTGCTAAATATGAGATGGACAACCACTGATACAGACAGCAGCAATTCCCATGATCTGGGCAGCTGGAGTATTGTGACTTTGATCTTTGAAGCTGCAGCTTGTTACATCCATGACATTTGGCTCTCACATTGGTTTCATCCATTTGCGCACAAGCTGGAAAGAGCAGTTCTGCTTGGATTGACTAAAAAATACATTGTGTGTGAACAGACACTCAAATCTCAGGAAACTGCATTGCACTCTGAATTTGCTTGGAGGAGTGGCTAACTTTTCCAATCAGATGCAGATTTTAAAGATAAACAGTGGCCCCGGTCACACGGGCAGGAAACTGCGGGGGAGAAGCGTGGCTGTTCGCCCTGGGGCAAACTACTGCGCAGTTACTCGATCAGACCTCCCGTGGAGGTCCTGTGGAGGTACCGTGAAGGTTCCATGGCAAGGGAGAGGTGCTGATCACAGGACAAGCCGGCGCGCAATGAAGAAGCGCGCACCGCGGCAAACTGTTTTGTTTTTGTGTGTACACGACGAATGCGCATGCTCCGTTGGGTGCGTGTGCGCATCCACAGAGATGTGGACAAAAAAAACACACCTTATTTGCAAGGGGACATGGGCGGGTGCCGGATGCCACCGGAAACGCGATCAGACGCCCGCCCTTGCCCCGCAGTTTCCGGAAACTAGTACCTCTGAGGTACTAGTTTTTTGCCACGCAGTTTCGGCTGGAAGCCTCAGTTGTGCCACGGGAGTGCTACGCTTCCAAGATGTGCTGGTGAGATCGCGCCTGGAAACTCCGCCTGTTTTCCGTCTCACTTGTGTGGCTTCTGTTCCGTATGACCGCAGCCAGTGTCAGTTAACACATATGGTTTCACTTTTGTAGTACAGATTGCACTGGGGGAGGGGCTGTGGCTCAGTGGTAGAGCATCTGCTTGGCATGCAGAAGGTCCCAGATTCAATCCCCGACATCTCTGGGTAAAAGATCTGGCAGCAGGTGATGCGAAAGACCTCTGCCTGAGACCCTGGAGAGCTGCTGCCAGTCTGAGTAGACAATACTGTGATGGAGCAAGGGGTCTGATTCAGTATAAGGCAGCTTCATGTGTTCATGTGCATGCTTAATCCCAATGTTCTGAACACACATACACTGGAATACTAAGAGTGAAGGTGCCTTCATCTTTTTAAGACCTCAGCAGTAGTTATTTCAACACTCAGGGCCACATTCTTTAACTACTAAACAAAATTACAGACTCAACTATAAATGATCATATTACCCATGAAAAACCAGCTAATGCACAACGAACTAGGGATGCTCGAACACCTGCCAGTTAAGCTCACTTTCTGTTCACCAGTGGTGATCAGGCAGACAACGAATCAAAGGATGCTTGGCTGTTCACAGCTTTTGTGTGTGGGTCCACAGGAACAGGCAACTTGAGGAATAAGCTGGGAGCCAATTTCTGATCTCTTGGTGAGGAAATTTTGCTCATTCTGAAAACTTTTTTTTGGGGGGGGGGGGAGGTTGTTCAGAAGTCCAACTGACCTGTTCTTTTTTCCTCACTGCAAGCTGTCAGCTTAGGCTGCAAAAGAAAGGAGAGAAACAAGCTCTTCCTCTTCTCCCTTTGACAGTGCGGAGATTAAAATCACTGTATCTCATCTCTGTTTCCAAGACAGAGCCAGGACTGTTTGAAAAAATTTCCGTGGTCATGTGGCCAGCATGGCTAAATGCCGAGGTGCACAGAACACTGTTACCTTCCCACTGAAGTGGCACCTATTTATCTACTTGCAGTTTCTTGCTTTCAAACCACTAGGTTGGCCATTAGGCATCTGCAAACATAGTGCTTGGCAGTTGTCTGAGTTGTTCAGTGCAATTCAATCATAACCCTGCTTGGCCCAGTCTTTGTGAGTGTTGAACAAGTTTGCTGAGCAAGTTTGCTGAGAAGTTCCCAACAATGAACTCATCACTTGTCCTCTCTCAGATAGGCAGAATTCTCATGGCTAAGAAAGCAGATTCAGTTGCGGGTTCACTGCCTCCACAAACATCAGCCCTGCAATGGGACAATGGCCAATCCAGAAACAATGTAAGAGAACAGCAATATAATAATTATATTATAAGATGGTGTATGTAGAGGGTGTAGTAACAATTGATTGGCACAGTAATGAGATAATACGGAGAACAAGAAAAACTGTGAGAAAGTGACGCTTAATATATGTCTTTAAAGAATCATAGAAAAGTGAACAAAAATAATATACATAATCATAGAAAAATATGTATTGACGGTGATCTCCGGAATGTCTTGCCGTTTCGAAGGAAGATCTTCTTCTGAACAAAGATGTGGGACAAAAACTGTCTCTCAATAGTTCATATCCTCTGGTGACGTCTCACAATTATCAAAGAAGATTTTCAATAATCATACCAGCTATAATGTAATGTATAGTAGAACCTGCCATGGGCTAAGATGATTGTAATGCAGGTCAGGATGAACTATTGAGAGACAGTTTTTGTCCCACATCTTTGTTCAGAAGAAGATCTTCCTTCGAAACGGCAAGACATTCCGGAGATCACCGTCAATACATATTTTTCTATGATTATGTATATTATTTTTGTTCACTTTTCTATGATTCTTTAAAGACATATATTAAGCGTCACTTTCTCACAGTTTTTCTTGTTCTCCGTATGTAGAGGGTGTAACATCTCCCATTTCCCCTCCTGATCAGATTGTTTGCAGCTGTTTGCAGCCCTGAGCAGCAGCTGCCTTGGCACCAGTTGCTTAAAAAAAAAAAAAACAACTTCTTTTTTAAAAGTCAGCTCACTGGGCATTATGCAGTCAGCTTGAAGAATTCAGGACACCACATAAGCCCAGTTCACAGTATAGTGAATGCGCATATGGCCTGCATGTACATATGTACACCTGTTTGTGAGAAACAGCCAACACACATTCACTTTGTAAGTGAAAGCAGGGGCCAATACCTGGATATATATGTGGTTTGTATCCAGTTGTAAAAAAAGATCAAGTGTACACTGTACATGGACTGTACATGTGTTCACTGTAACCTGTATAAGGGTTGGCTATATGGTAGCATAACAAAGAATGAGGGTGGGGTTTATTGCTATTCCTTGGAATGGGCAAACACTTTCACCCCTCTGCACAAGTCCTCTGTCACCAAAACAGGGCTACGAGAAGGGCTGTGAAATCTTTGGCACAAACCAGTTAATTTTTTGGGGGGTGGGGGGGCAACGGCAATACTAACCGTCACATACTGAAATAACCAAAATTCCTTTGAACTGAACAGACTTCCATCGTGTGAAACTTGAAAATGTACCGTCCTAGAGAATTTCTTCCTAACATCTCTGCAGTAGTTTCTGAACCGTGGGAAACAATCTTTATAGATGCAAACACAGCAAGACACATACCATCCCACGTTGAACTCTACGTGAGCATCAAAGAGCGCAACTACTGGAGCCGTCGCTGCCCTCCAGCCGCTAACACGAGAACGAATCAGCCCCTCTTGCTTGTTGTGTCGAACCACCTTGATGAACCCAGGCTTCCGTGCTGTCACTTCATCCACGTATTCTTTTAGCTTTTCTTTTAGTTCCTCTGTACAAGGAATGCAAATGAAGTTAGAAACAGCTATCGGACTTCCAGGACACAGTCATCTCTATCAGGGTAGAAACAGCAGAGAATATCCGAGGGTTAAGCCTAATGCCTTTTGAGCATAAATCATAAAAGGAGGGGACCAGGGAAGCTTTGAATGCTGGAGAGTTGCACTAGATAAAGACCAGTGATTCGGCTAGACACAGCAGTACAGGGGAATACATTTCAAGGCACTGCAGCTGATGGTTACTTTTGCTGCAGTAGCCTGCAGTAAAAAGCCAAGGGTGTCCATGAACAGGGAGCAAACAGGAGCCAGATCCCTAGCTGGATGCCAGACGAGTCAGAAAGCATTTCAGCTGTAATGCTTGAGCTGCAACAATGGAAGTTTAGCCATCTGCTTCAGTGAGATGTGAACTGTACCTAAGGCCTCTTCTGGGACAAATCAGCAATCACAAGGCCCTCATCCTGAAGATTCGTGCTGGTCTATCTGCCATCAGTGGCAGAATAAGCATTCTGTAAGGTGAGTACAATATCAGGGTTGGAGATGTTTACCTGGCACAAGAGTCTGTGTATCACACCCTAAGCATTTCTTTCCAATGGCACACGTCAGACTGCTAGTCATATAGAATGTGTCTTGGAATAAATTTCCATGTCTGTTATTCAGGGCTATTTTGGGGCAGGAACGCACAGGAACGGAGTTCCAGCTGGCTCCCAAGTTGGCCACACCTGGCAGGAACTCATTAGCATAACAGGCCACACCCAACAGCAGAAACTCATTAGGATTGGCTACATTAGGGGTGTGTGACCTAACATGCAAAGGAGTTCCTGCTACAAAAAAAGCCCTGGGTTTTGACAACAAACAAGGTAAACAGAATAAGAAGCAAAAGGTGGGTGTGGCTGGATGACAACACTTCTGGCAACATGGGGGTATGGCCTAATATGCTAATGAGCTGTGATGTCAAGGGTGTGGCCTAATATGCTAATGAGTCCCTGCTGTTGGGTATGGCCTATTATGCTAATGAGTTCCTGCCGGGCTTTTTCTACAAAAAGAGCCCTGCGTGTTATTCATGACTTGTTTGAGCTCTTAAAGTGAACAGATTGGTTTCTTGCTTTCTGTTACAGCAAAGGAACAATTACTTACATCTAACCGCTGTTTAGTTGATACATTCTTCCATGCACAACACAATAACACAGATGAAAATTCATCTCCCCTATTTATAAATATCACTAAACAATTGGAGGTGAAGCCAATGGTTAATTCTGTGCCTACCACATGTTGAATATATTCAGCTCGATGGACGTGTGCTTAAAGTCAAAAAACTATATAAACTTGCTATTTGTAGTGAAAAATGTAAAATGGTAGATTTCAAGCATTAGAAATTCAGTGCTGTAAATGAACACATTTATACAGCCATTGATTATGGAAGAATTATAGAGTGTTCTAAACTTGTGACAAAAATCCACCCTTGGGTATTCCAAAATTAATCTGAATAAAAGATTCTTCCTTCCCCTGAAGCAGTTGGTATATTGGTTAGGGTGTCAGGCTAGGATCTAGGAGACCCGGGTTCAAATTCCCTCTCTACCATGGAATCTTGCTGAGTGAACTTTTTTGCTTCTGTGTTCAATGTGGAAAGTTATGGGCACGTACCCATGCCACAGCCCCTATTTTCAGGAAGGGAGTCTGAAGAACTGAGCCAAATTGAGGTGACCAGAGATGAAGTTCTTGACCTACTGGGGAAATTAAAAACCACTATGTGTCCAGGTCCTGATGGCATACACCTGAGAGTTCTTAAGGAATTGAGATGTGAGATAGTGGATCTGCTAACCCAGATATGTAACCTATCACTAAATTCAGCTGCTGTACCAGTATTGGGGCCAGTACTATTTAATTTATTCATAAATGATCTGAAACTAGGGGTAAGTATTGTGGTGGCCAAGTTTGCAGATGACACAAAATATTCAGGATGGTAAAAACCAAGGTAAAGAGCTCAGAGGATCGCCACATACTGAGTGAGTGGGTGACAATGTGGCAAATGACGTTCAGCGTTGATAAGTATAAGGTGATCCACATTGGGACAAAAATCCCAACTTCAAGTATAGGTTAATGGGGTCTGAACTTGCTGAGACTAAGAGGGAAAAAGATCTTGGGGTCGTAGTGGATAGCTGAATGAAAGTGTCAACCCAGTGTACTGCAGTGGTGAAAAAGGCAAACTCTTTGTTAGGGATTATTAGGAAAGGAACCAAACATAAAATGGCTGATATTGTAATGCCCCTGTATAGACCTATGGTTCAGCCTCATTTGGAGTACTGTGTTCTGGTCACCATATCTCAAAAAGGAAATTGCAGAGCTGGAAAAAGAGGGTAACCACGATGATTGGGGGTTGGAGCACCTTCCCTATGAGGAAAGGCTGAAGAGTCTCAGACTTTTCAGTTTATAAAATTATGTATGGAGTGGAGAGAATTGAGAAAGGGAATTTTTTCTCCCTCTCCCAAAATACTTGAAGTTAAGGGCATCCAATGAAGCTGATGGGCAGTAAATTCAGGACGAACAAAAGGAAATACTACTTTACACAGAGAGTGACTAAAATGTGGAATTTGCTGCCAGAGGATGTAGTGATGGCCACAGGAATAAGCCGCTTTGAAAGATTCATGAAAGACAAACCTATCAATGGCTAATAACTATGGTGATGAGTGTTCTCTCTAAGCTGAGTTAGTGTGAGCTAGCTCACAGTTTTTTAGCCTCCGGCTCACACATTTTTGTCTTAGCTCAGGAAGGATGGCTCCAGAGCAAACTAATTTATACAGTAGCCAAATCGCTCGCTCACAACTTTAATGCCAGTAGCTCACAAAGTAGATTTTTTGCTCACAAGACTCCACAGCTTAGAGGGAGCAATGTCACTGAGGTGAAACGCCACATTCAGGCACACTAAACCTCTGAACCCCAGACCAGGAGGCAACATCAGGGGAAGGCCTCAGCCTATGCCCTGTTGTTGGCCCTCCAGAGGAACTGGTTGGCCATGCTGTAAGACAGGATGCTGAACTAGATGGGCTACTGGTCTGATCCATTAGGGCTCTCCTTATATTCTTATGTTTTAACAAGCCATTCACACACTTCTCAGTCTAACCTATTTCACAGGGTTATAGGAAAGACAAAATGTAGGCGAGAAAAGCAACGTAAGCTGCTCTGAGTCCCCTCTGGAGAGAAAAGTGGTGTATAAATTGAATTAAATTACGTTTATTGTGAACATATTCAGAACCTCTGGTGAAAATTTTCTGGCAACCTTAATAGGTCTGGAGCAGAGTGCAAACTCCCTGCAAACAGTAGCTTGCAAACTGAGATCCAGGACTTTACCAGCCTCTTTTTCAAATTCCCTCTTCTAGGAGAACTATCAGCATTACCCATAGTTATGTACAAATCCTAACCATGGGTTTTGCCAACTGGTTTCCTCCTAATTAGAGTTTGTGAGTTTATTTCCAACTTGGTTAGCATCAACTATGGTTAGTTTCACATAGATGCTAGGTCATTATCAAAGCCAAAATGGGAAGGAAATGAAATCAGTTATGTTGTTAGGGCTGGACACTGGAGCTGAAGCACAAGGCCCTGGAATATAAGCTCAGAAGGATGCCCCGAAACAGGCAGAATCTAGAGTATACATTACCATACAAATGGGGGGGTGTCCATAAAACCAGTATGTCTGGAGTCTAAAGTTACCTAACTGCACCACTTAATGAGACATTCATTGCTGAGAAGGAGGAAGGAGGAAGGAATGGGGGGGGGGACAAAATCTTCCAGGGCAGGCTTCCAGTCTGTAGACCCTGATTTGCACAGAATCAGCATTCCAAGTGAACAGAGCCATGGCAGTAAATGAAGCATTTCTAATGTTGCTGAACATTTATTTAGCCAGCAGTATGATACACTGAGCCACAGACTTCAAGGAAGGCATTCTTCATTTGTCACATTCCCAACCACCGCTGGACAACAACATTCTCCCTCTCGCTCATCATTAATGAATGCATTTCAACTCTATTGTACATATAAACAGCTGTATGAACCAATGAACTCTGCAAAAGACTATATATGTTGAACACACAAGCTATCAGTTGAGCTATGTAAACTTCATTTCTTTCTTTAAAATGGTATAAATAACAGGAAAGTCCCAAGTCTTCAAACAATGGGAGAGAAGAAGAAGAAGAAGAGTAGGAGGAGGAGGAGGACGAGGAGATTTGATTTATCCCTGCCCTTCACTACCCAAAGGTGTCTCAGAGTGGCTTACAAACTCCTTTCCCTTCCCCTCCCCACAACAGACATCCTGTGAAGTAAGTGGGGCTGAGAGAGCTCTGACACAAACTGCTCTTTTTCAAGGAAAGCTGTGCCAGAGCTTGTGACTGACCCAAGGTCACATCAGCAGGTGCAAGTGGAAGAGTAGGGAATCAAACCCGGTCCTCCCAGATTAGAGTCCGCACACTTAACCACTACAGCAAACAACGGGGGGTTGTCTTCCACTTTTGGGAAGAGATTTTCATTCTCTGTGCTCCCCCCCCCCCAATCTATCAGTTGAATATGGCAACAATATTGAGGAGAGCGAAGCTAAGCTGAAGTGGTGCCTTCCACAAATGTTTTCTCCCCTCTCAAAATTCCTTATTCTTTCGCAATTTGTGTAATGGGAGCATATTCCTTAACACACATTATAATGTCCCCAAGTGTCTGATATCCAGGCAGTGATACGCTAGTGTAAGTTCTTCATGGTCCCCAATGGTTTATTTTTTTGTTGAAAGTATCCCTTCTTTTTCCCTAGCAAAAGTGACATCGTCACACAGCAAGCTGTTTTCAGATAGATGACTGCAAGAAAGTTTTTTTCAAGCAGCAGCATTCCTCTAAATTAGCCGGCTTTGCCCTTTGTGATCTATTACTTCGTCAAATCTGTCTACATAACAGTACAACTATTACCAGGTGGAATGCCTATTTTCAAACAACCAAAAATGCTATTAAAGCTTCAGCCAGC